TGCTCTCCGGACTCTGTTTTCTTGCACGATACTTCTTATGGTCGGTAAAAATTCATTATATAATCTCCCGAAGGTTTTGACCACCGTATCACGCAAAAATCTCATGTTCTTGTTTCAAGCTGTTTTTTGCCAGGGTTGTCAAGGCCAAGCATCATGTCGTCTCCCTCCTCCTCCAACAATGAGGGCAATGATGCTTGGCTAATGAAGATAGAGTTGACGAGAGAAGAACCCAGAGAGATCAACAAGGATGATGGGATCAAGAAGGCCATGGGAGATCAAGTTTCGGCAGTAGCAGAAGAAGACATCCTTCAACCTCACCACAATCTCTTTACCCCAACGGGGATTGAAGCTTTCAAGATGATTGAGTTAGCTCGCATTCAAAACAAGTATATCACAAGTGAAAATATTTTGTTGAAGGAGCATATCATCGCACTCAAGGGCATTATCCGCAAATTGGAGGATCTCTTACGCTCGATGTGTGACTACCCATCATCACCAACACCTTCTTCACCAACAAAAAACTGAGAATCAGGTATGGGCACTCCCCTTGGCAACTGCCAAGCTTGGGGGAGTGCCCCGGTATCGTATCACCATCACTTTTATCTTTACCATTTTTCTCAGTTCATCCTTTTGATAATATCTTGATCTAGTAGAATAAAGTTTTAGTATGATCTAGTTGTGAGTTTTCCTTTATGATCTTCCTATGTAATCGAGTCCGTGAGCTATATATAATAAAGATTAGTGTTGAATTAAGGGCTTGATTATTTTGCTATGATCTAGAGGGAATAAAATAAAAGAGAAGAAATAAAAAGAAATAAAGAGATCATATGGATCTTATGGAGAGTAATGACTTCACATATAAGAGTATGATGAATAAAAGTTGTTGAAAGTTGACAAACATAGTTTTGGTCATCGTTGCAATTAATAGGAAGTAATAAAGAAAGAGAGGTTTTCACATATAAATATACTATCTTGGACATCTTTTATAATTGTGAGCACTCATTAAAATATGACATGCTAAAGAGTTGATGTTGGACAAGCAAGACAATGTAATGGGTTATGCTCTCTTACATCTGAGATAAATTATATTGTCATGGATCATCCAACATGTTGAGCTTGCCTTTCCCTCTCATGCTAGCCAATTTTTTTTGCACCAAGTAGAGATACTACTTGTGCTTCCAAATATCCTTAAATCCAGTTTTTCCATGAGAGTCCACCATATCTACCTATGGATTGAGTAAGATCCTTCAAGTAAGTTGTCATCGGTGCATGCAATAAAAAAATTGCTTTCTAAATATGTATGATCTATTAGTGTGGAGAAAATAAGCTTTATACGATCTTGTGATGTGGAAGAAATAAAAGCGATGGACTACATAATAAAGGTCCATATCACAAGTGGCAATATAAAGTGACGTTCTTTTATATTAAGATTTCGTGCATCCAACCATAAAAATGCATGACAACCTCTTCTTCCCTCTGCGAAGGGCCTATCTTTTATTCTTGTCTTATACTTCATGCAAAGAGTCACGGTGATCTTCACCTTTCCTTTTTACATTTTATCCTTTGACAAGCACAATGTGTTGGAAAGATCCAGATATATATAGCTAATTGGATGTGAGTTTTCATGAACTATTATTGTTGACATTACCCTTGAGGTAAAACGTTGGGAGGCAAAACTATAAGCCCCTATCTTTCTCTGTGTCCGATTAAAACTTCATACCCATAAATATTGCGTGAGTGTTAGCAATGTGAAAGACTAAATGATAGTTGAGTATGTGGACTTGCTGAAAAGCACTTATATTGACTCTTTCCTATGTTATGATAAATTGCAATTGCCCCAATGACTGAGATTATAGTTTGTTAGTTTTCAATGAAGTTTCTGATTCATACTTGAGTGTGTGAATGAATTGTTACTTTAGCATGGGAGATCATATGACAATATATATATATATATGTTGTTATTCTAAGAATGATCATGATGCCCTCATGTCCGTATTTTATTTTATCGACACCTCTATCTCTAAACATGTGGACATATTTTCCGATTTCGGCTTTCGCTTGAGGACAAGCGAGGTCTAAGCTTGGGGGAGTTGATACGTCCATTTTGCATCATGCTTTTATATCAATATTTATTGCATTATGGGCTGTTATTACACATTATGTCACACTACTCATGCCTTTTCTCTCTTATTTTACAAGGTTTACATGAAGAGGGGGAATGCCGGCAGCTGGAATTCTGGGCTGAAAAAAGAGCAAATATTAGAGACCTACTATGCACATCTCCAAAAGTCTTGAAACTCCACGGGAGTTATTTTCAAAATATATAAAAAATACTGAGTGAAGAAAGTACCACAGGGGGGCCACCCACCATCCACGAGGGTGGGGGGCGTGCCCTCTGCCTCGTGGGCCCCCTGGTGGCCCTCCGATGCCCATCTTTAGCTATATGGAGTCTTTCGTCGAGGAAAAAATCATAAGCAAGATCATGGGACGAAACTCCGCCGCCATGAGGCGGAACCTTGCCGGAACCAATCTAGGGCTCTGGCGGAGCTGTTCTGCCGGGGAAACTTCCCTTCGGGAGGGGGGAAATCATCACCATCGTCATCACCAATGATCCTCTCATCGGGAGGGGGTCAATCTCCATCAACATCTTCACCAGCACCATCTCATCTTAAACCCTAGTTCATCTCTTGTATCCAATCTTTGTATCCAAACCTTAGATTGGTACATGTGGGTTGCTAGTAGTGTTGATTACTCCTTGTAGTTGATGCTAGTTGGTTTACTTGGTGGAAGATCATATGTTCAGATCCATTATGCATATTAATACCCCTCTGATTATGAACATGAATATGCTTTATGAGTAGTTACGTTTGTTCCTGAGGACATGGGAGAAGTCTTGCTATAAGTAATCATGTGAATTTGGTATTCGTTCGATATTTTGATGAGATGTATGTTGTCATCCCTCTAGTGGTGTCATGTGAACGTCGACTACATGACACTTCACCATTGTTTGGGCCTAGAGGGAGGCATTGGAAAGTAATAAGTAGATGATGGGTTGGTAGAGTGACAGAAGGTTAAACCCTAGTTTATGCGTTGCTTCGTAAGGGGCTGATTTGGATCCATATGTTTCATGCTATGGTTAGGTTTACCCTAATACTTCTGTTGTAGTTGCGCATGCTTGCAATGGGTGTTAATCATAAGTGGGGTGCTTGTCCAAGTACGGACAGTACCCGAGCACCGGTCCACCCACATATCAGATTATCAAAGTACCGAACGCGAATCATATGAACGTGATGAAAACTAGCTTGATGATAATTCCCATGTGTCCTCGGGAGCGCTTCCCTTTATATAAGAGTTTGTCCAGGCTTGTCCTTTGCTACAAAAAGGATTGGGCCATCTTACTGCACCTTATTTACTTGCATTACTTGTTACTCGTTACAAATTACCTTATCACAAAACTATCTGTTACCGATAATTTTAGTGCTTGCAGAGAATACCTTACTGAAAACTGCTTATCATTTTCTTCTGCTCCTCGTTGGGTTCGACACTCTTACTTATCGAAAATGCTACGATAAATCCCCTACACTTGTGGGTCATCAGTGCACGAAGAATTATCGAACGAGAGTTGGATCAGCTGGGGGAATTCGTGTCTATATGGGAGTGGATCAGCCATGCCACCCTGTTACCGACCAACGAGGACCACATTTCCTGGAACCTGACTACTAAATGGGGCTTACTCCTCTGCGTCGGCGTATGGGGCGCAATTCTATGGTTCTCATCCTAGGTTTAACCCCTCCAAGGTCTGGTCTGCTCATGCCGAACCCAAGTACAAATTCTTCGTCTGGCTGGCCCTCCATGGGAGGATTTTGACCGCGGACAGGTTGGCATTGCGTGGCTGGCTGCTTGACCCCAGATGCCGGCTCTGCCTTCAGAAGCCAGAAACTGCAAGCCATCTCTGCAAGGACTGTCTCTTTAGAGTCGCGGTATGGAACCAAGTGAACACATGGACGAACGAGGGCTTGCTGATATCGGTGTTCCTACCTGAGCCCGGAAGCGTGTCAGATTGATGGGATACCTTGCTTGCAAACCAATCAAGCAGGTGCGCCGATGACGCAGCGGGAGGATCATCTACACCTTATGGTCAGTATGGAAGGAGTGAAACAGGCGAGTTTTCACCGGTATTTGTTTGACGCATACAGAGGTTGCCATCCTGGCCTTGGAGGCAATTAAACAACGCGCATTGGCGTTTGCCGGAGCCAGGCCAACCGAGGAGATTGGCTAATTTAGTTTAGGGTTAGTACCGTGTTCTGGTGGTTTTTATGCCGCGTTCCCTAAAAATGTGCGCCTCTCTGTACATCGCGTTTCTCGCTTTCCTTCTATAAAGAAAAGGCAGTGCTTCCGCGGGTTCCTCAAGAAAAAAAAGTTGAATTCCCTAGTCCCGCATGAGCCGAGGACGAAATATCGATTGTTTCAGAATCACATTAAACATTGAACCGTAAGTTGGACCATACTGTGAACAGACTTTGTATCTTGGTGATTTGTAGAAGGCTACTTCTTGTCTGAACAATACAGGCTAACTTGCAGAGTTTTTTCCTTCAAACCATGCAGGAAGACTGCACGTGAATATATAGATGAAAAACAAAGGTTCCAAACGACAATTACAGCAGTTGTTAAGCGTGAGAAAGATCAGAGAAGAGAAAGAGAGCAGAAACTGGTCCAAAGCAGAACAAACACGCAAGAAAAACGACCGCAGGGACAGTAAATCTACGCGTACAGCGCGAGAGTGCGCCACAGTCCACCGCGATCACTTGTATCAATGGCAGTGATATGATAATACTATGAAACGCAAAATCCACTTACAAACTTTACAACCGGTTCAATCAAAGCCATAATAATTAACATAACAATGCCCACATCACACATCAAACTTAAGCTCCACAGATACAGATAGCAGCAGCAGCAGCAACACACCACCAGTGATCAGGTGATCAATGATCATGCACTCAGGCGGAGGAGCCCTTGAGCTTCTTGGCGATGCCGGCGAAGTACTTGCCCTGGTGGAAGGCGTGCTCCAGCTCCATCTCCGACGGCCACCGCGACCCGTCCCCCGCGAACGTGCCAGCGCCGTACGGGCTGCCGCCCTGCACCTTGTCCATGTCGAACATCTTGGCGCCGAACGTGTACCCCACCGGCACGAACACCATGCCGTGGTGGGTCAGCTGGGTCACCGCCGTCAGCGGCGTCGTCTCCTGCCCGCCGCCCTGCGTGCCCGTGCTGAAGAACACGCCCGCCGGCTTGCCCGCCAGGCTCTGCTCCCTCCACAGCCCGCCCGTCGCGTCGAAGAATGCCTTCATCTGCGCCGCCATCATGCCGAACCTCGTCGGGAACCCGAACAGGACGCCGTCCGCCTCCGCCAGCTCCTGCGGGGAGATCACCGGCACGTCGGTCTTGGGCGGGGCGCCCATCTTGCCAAGGACTTCCTCGTTCAGGATCTCAGGGACCTTTAATACGATGGTGAGCAAAGATGCATGTGTGAATTCATTTCATGAAATCTTTCTCTACACACACTAGATAGTTCTCGAGCCTGACGAGCAGAGCATCACAGTGGGAGCTTGCACACTGTTGTCAACTGATAAACAGGGTTGCTGAGACTGACCTGCCACACTTTAACCTCCACGCCTTCGACAGATGAAGCACCTTTCTTGATCTCATCAGCTAGCTTAGCAACATGACCATACATGGAGTAGTACCTGTCAAAAATTGGTGATGATTTTACATCTTACTTTTTATTGACGTGCAAGAAGCAAGACACAATGATATATCTTGTCCCATAAACATCAACCGCTACTGCTTTTTGTTTACGCGTGTTTCAGATAACTTAAGGAAACACGCTAGGCTGACAAAAGGAATAAAGGAGATCATGAACCAACTAGTGTGTTACGCACGGCACTAATGTTCATCAATTAACGAACTATGTAAGACACCTGTGTCGAGAACTTCGCACCAGTATATTATATAACTACTTCACCTAAACTTATGGCTGTAAGTTCTATATCTGGTGATTGGTGAAAAGAGTTTGCCCCCACAGCCACTAAGAAAACAAAGTAATCATGTACAGGCAAAACAATAAGTTTGAAAATGATGTCAAAATGTCACGAAGGGTTTGGGGCAAACTGTCAATCAAAGGTCTAATTAGAATAACCCAGGTGTTTCCCATCTTTTATCTAAAGGCTTCTAGAGGCTTACTTTTTGGTAGTTGGGCAATCCCATTCAGCAAGCAAAATTTTAAAGCATGGCCCAATTATAGACAGTGATAGGGTGATACAGGTTAGTTATGTGCTTATGGTTTCTGATAGATGTGACTTGAAAGAAAGACGAGTAATGCGAATTGATAGAGAAACGCTGCTTGCCAATAGCAGGATGCATCCATTGCATCGAGTACTGAACACTCAAAGATGCTTGAAGACACTACTAGGTTGAATCTGACCAGGAGTGACATTCTTCAAATGCTGATGTGAGTTCTCACACTTTACGGATTACTTGTATTGCATTCCAATATTCAGAAGGCCAGTGGACTTGCTCATACTTTTTCGATAATAATTATGCACTGGTTACTTTTGTGCTTCAGATAAGCTTTTATTGAGACAGGCATAATTGTGGAAAAGCTAAAAGTCCATGTTGGTGGTGTTGACACTAGGAAACAATAAGATTGAACACTGCTACAAGCAAAGATCCATCACAGGAGACAGTGGGGTTGTAGTGGAAAATCCACATCAAAAGAAAATGGCCTTTTAATTGCTGTGCTGCAACTGACAAATTTGCATATGTAAGCTGAAAGAAGGCCACCAAAATTTTAATCAGCAGACTATTTTTAATAAACAGATTCTTTTAATAAGAAAACACACCATTTAAAAAAGAAGGAAGAAACTCAGAGATTTATTTTAAAACGAGAGAAGGCATAAACGACAAGTTGATTAAACATTTAGGCCAGTTCTCACCTAATACACAAGTTCCACATAGCACAAAACAAATTAGATTTGCATCACACTGATGTATATATGATTTCCGTCCTATTTAAAGCACAATAGATTCCATTCCATCTTTTTTTAAAGGAGCTGTGGTCTGTCATATAATATGATATACATCGCACTGGAAACCTGAGCATCATATGCAGCCATGACCCATGAGTAGCTATCCCTATTAGTTGGTGGGAACAGGGTAAATCGTAAAGACATACTACTAGCATATTCTGCTATGAAATTCATATAGGAAACATAGCCCAAAGCAACAACCAAACTAGGGACAGTCAACAACCTAGGTGATGTTCTTCAGAAAGATGGCAATCAAGGCGTTGTTGACTGCACCCACTGCCACTGGTAACGGAAATTGCTTCGAGAAGTCACCGATGTCTGCCGGTGCGGCGGATACTTCAGAGGTGCGCGTTTCACACGACAGGGAGGAAAAAATTCAGATAAAGGGGGACAGCGCAGGATTACTAGTGCAGGATCAGGTCCCAGTCCATATCCGGCATCGATCCCATCACGGACCACCACCAGACCCACCACCGATTAAATCCACGATTGATGATGCCCCCATACATACAGCTAATAATCGAGCACAGGTTATCTGCGACTCTGAAGCCTGAACCCTCACCCCACCACTCGTTTCAGTTCACTGAACCTGGACTGAACCCTGACGCGAATGATCAAAACTACTACAAGAACCGCTCTAGATGGAGGCGTCGACGGGCGGAGGGCCTCCCGAAGAAGAATTGTGCACTGATGGTCCGTGATTGCCGAATTTAAAAAAAAAATCTAGGCAGAATCATCGACTGTCTGAATTAACAACGTCTAGAAATTCAGTTCCATAGCACGCACGAGTGTGAATGAATTGTAATGGGGGGCAACGAAATTAAAGAGATAGTGCTACTGGCAGGGAGGGAGCGGGTGCTTACACGACGTAGACCTTGACCGCCATGGGAGGCGCGGCGGAGCTCCGCGGATCTGAGATCTGGTGGGGGGAGGAGGAGGAGGAGGACGGCTCCGGTTGTTTAATGGGTTGGAGATGGAATGGAGGGGAGGGGAGGCAGTGGGCAGTGGGAGAGGAGGGGAAGGGAGGCCGGGAGCATTTATAGGCCGGCCGGGACGGGGTTGCCGTGCCGGTTGACCTCCGAGGTGTGGTGTGGTGAGGTCCCAACCAACTACAGCTCCTGCCAAGCGGATCCGGGCACTGCCACTGCCACTTGTGCGTGTGAGTGACCGCTGCAGCGTCACGTGCTGCTCATCCCTGGCCTCTGAATTGTTTTTCCTTTTTATTTTGGACAGCAGGCCTCAAACTTTTTTTCATGTTATTTTTCTGGGAAACCTTATTATATTTGCAGCGAGTAGAAATATTTCTAGTACTCTCTTCACCATCGTATTGTGATCGTCTTTTTTAATTTGGACCGTCTCTGAGAACTTTGCCTCCTCATCCCTCTGAGTGTTCGGCAGGTCCATCCGTGGTCCTAAATTATTCATTTTTCGCCAGCCGGACTCAAATGTTATTTCTATTCTCTGCTCATTCAGCGTATGATGAATTAATGATTGTAGAGTTGGTATTTTTGAAAAAAAGGAAAAATGTAGAGTTGGTAAATCTTCTTGAGTCTAGTCAAATGTCAAATGATCTTCCCCTGAAGAAATTTTTTCCCTGTCAAAACCCCATATCCAATCCAGTATACGAGGTGTCTTTGGCGGGTGTGCGTCCATGGCTGAGATATCATAATTTGTTTGTTTTGTTCGTTCGTTTGCGGTAGAAGATAGGATATGCATGTACGCATCCTTATTATATAAGAGAAACCTGTTTTGTCTTTTAGTTTGTACTAAAAGATAGGATGTGCATGTAAGCATCCATAGTTACACCCCGCAAAAAAAAACTCATAGTTACAATATCATGTAATAACAGTGGCGAAGCTAGAAAATAATCCAATCCAGCATACAATGTATCTTTAGTGGAGTCGCAAAAAAAATGTATCTTTGGTGGATGCGTGTCCATGGCTAAGATATCATAATTTGTTTGTTTTTTTTTTGTTTGTTTGTTTGTGGTAGAAGATAGGATATACATGTAAGCATCCTTATTATCTAAGAGAAACCATGGACAAATTGTTTTGTCTTTTAGTTTGTACTAAAAGATAGAATGTGCATGTAAGTATCCATAGTTACACCTCGCAAAAAAGGCATCCATAGTTACGATATCATGCAACAGTGG